AAAAAAAAAAAAAAAAAAAAAAAAATAGTGAAAACAATGCGACGATATCGAAGAACGTTAGAATGACGTAAAGCTGAATTGCGACTACAATAATACAATCTCGGACGATAGAAAAAAAGAACTGAAGATCGCGCGATGTCAGATTACGCCATGCGACGTACGAGTCGTCTTTGCATGCTGACGAGAAAAAGAGACAGAGGCATATATTTCGCACGAGATGTTCCGATTCGCGAAGTGGAGCGAACGTAATGTCCGAGGAGCGTTTAGTGAAACGGGATCGTTTACAAACGACAAGCTGGTCATCACCGAACGTACCGTATTGTGACGGATGTTACTGTCCATTGTCGGTCAGATTTGACGTGAGGTGTGACAGAGTAACGTGTCGATAACGATCCGCCGCGAAGGACGGTGCGTACCTCCTTCGGGACGCGAAATAGCCCTTTTCCAAGATAGCAAAATCGTGCGCCAACAATCGATGTCTGACAGCTGGTAGAACGTAACCGCCGTGATTATTCGCGATCCTGCTCGAGTCACGTCCATCATTTCCGATAAGAGAAATCCTAGTGGAACTCACTGAAGAGAAAATGTTCCTATTGGACAATCGCGATGGTGTCCAGCGAATCCGGATGCAACGTGAATTCTTGATCTTTGGGCATGAATCATGAATCTCTTCACATAAATTCTATCTTACTTATCGATCATGTAATTTTTTTTCTAGTATAAAATTATGAAAAGTGAATAATTTTACACTACTTAAAAGTGGTTTTTGCTCTAATAGGTTTGGTCGTTTTCAAACAACTTCTAAACTAGTGTACACCAATGTTGTAAGTGAAAAAAGTATACTTGTTTTATTTTAATTTATTGCACTAGTGCATAAATTCTTCCAAAACGAACAGAATGAGATGCAGACCTAATGTAAACTTATAAAAAGTGAATATTTCCATATATTGTCAAGATTGGATTTTTCAATTTTTACAAGTTCATACTAGGGGGAAAAATTCATGGTTGTTCTTCTGATCGTGTTGACGATGTAATTAACTGAAAATTTTTAAATTAAAAATAACGCTTCCAAAAAAGAACAAGTATCACTTCACTGTGCAAGAACGAATTCTTCCTAATGTCTATTCTTTTTAGCTGTACTATGTTGCACTTTTGCCTTTGGGATAAAACAAGATTGGGTCTGTTTCTATTGCTGAACAAGTGTACAATTTCAGAACTTAAAAAGAGATAGATACACAGATAAAACTTGGTGGAACAAAGATGAGAGAGAACTAGTGCAGCCAATTCAGCAATAGGAAACAGACCCCTTGTATAACCTAGTGTTGAAGGGAAAAAGAAATAAAGTTCCACACAATGCAATATTAATTTAACTTAAACCTGATTTCACCAATATCAATCGAGTTTTAACTAAAGTTTTAATTTAAACCTCCATTCTAAGACTGAAGAGACACCAAATGTCGAGCGCTGGTTGGTCAACGATGGTCGCTCATTGCGAATCAACCTTTAAGACGGGAACCTAGCTACCGGAAGACTGTCAGCGCATCGGAAGCGTGTTGTTAACAATTTCTAATTATTCCTCCAAATTACGTCACGTTTTTCGACACACTGTTGACGGAACGCACGAATTTAACATTCATTTATCGCGTGCGGGATGCTACGTCGATCAGCAGAAAAGTCTCTAGTTTGACTAGTCAACCGGCATGAGAGGTTCGGTGGAGGGGACGATGCGAGGAAGGGACGACTTGGATAACGTCGCGCACAAACGACGCTGCGCTGGCTAGTCAGTCGCTTGGCGAACGTCAGAGGAGCTGTTTCCCGAACAAATCTTTGTCAAATTCTCGTGCCGTGATGTCGGAAGTATTCAAACTGGGTGATTTAGTATGGTGTGTATTGAAAGAAGTGTGCATACTCCGGCAGTCGGCGCGGTGTTCGCGTACTAATCTCAATTGCGTGTCTGTTTCTGACTTTCAGGGCGAAGATGAAGGGATTCTCACCGTGGCCCGGCCGGGTAAGTACCAACCCCCCGACACATCGCGCGGCAACGATCAACCGTTGAGATCGTCGTCGGACGACTCGCTCCTTTCTCTCTCTCAGTCATTCTCCATCCAAGTCGCGGTCGTGCGCGCTCTTTCTCTCCTCTCCAAAGTTAAAAGTATACTTGCGGTGTGACGCGTTCGCCCGCTCGTATTTTGGCGGGTTTCACGCTGTCGACGTTTCCATCCCGGTGCCTCGTCTCGGTGCCCGAACTCGGTGCCGCGCGGCACGGCAGCTGTTGACGCCACTGCTCCAGCCCGCATCGCGTCCGCTATCTCCCGCCACACCCGACCTTCGAATTCAAATTGGCGCGCAAGACCGCGGAGATATAACCTAAATCTGTACACCGAGTTTGTTCAGTCTCTCTCTTGCTTTCGGTCTTCGCGCTCCAGCTCCCCTCCTTGCTTGCTCGCTCCCTTCCTTCCTTCCCTTCCTTTCCTCTCTTTCCTCTCCTCTCGCTTGCCTTCCACCCGCCGCTGTTTCGTAACTCTTCACGTCGCGGTGGATTGAATACCGATGCTACCGAGATATTCGCCGTGTAGATTTTAGAATTTGTTCCGCGCGCTCATTCGTCCTCAATTTTGTTTCTTACTAGCAAAAATTCGCCTGACGTCGAACACTGTGTTGCGCGAATAAATCAAACTTTGATTAGATCCGATCGACTCATTTTAATCGCGATTTTTACTTTTAAAACATAGTAAATATGTATTTAGGTTTTTCAGAAACAAGAACGAAAAAAATAAAGTGTAGAGAGTGTAATTAAAACGGCTGTGTATTATCAAGTACTTTACGCGGTAACTATCGTCGACTTATGACAGGGCCGTACGAAGATCAGGGGAAGTCTGCAGTAGCATACAAATTGAAGATTATTTTCTCTTGACGTAAATATTGCATCACAAGATTATCTTTCAAGCATATTTACGTCGATATTTTTCTTTACTTCAGTCTTGAAAATATATATGCAAACATTACAAATTTATAATATAAAACTTGTAAAAGAAATATTTCTATATTATATACAAGACTATATTCATATATTTTTGTACAAATATCATAGTGTAAACATATTACACATTGTACAAATATCATAGTGTAAACATTATTAGTATTAGTTAATTTTCAAACAATTATATGTTTGTCATTTCACTTTGACAAAACTTATATTGTATTGTTATTAATATTATCTCGTACATGGATAGATTGTATGAATTGAGATGAAATGCAAAACAAATGTTAGGAGATATTACGATTTTTATATTACTGCAGCATATATATTGGGTCATATATTAATTTTATATTGACATGTAAAGGTGTCAAATCCTTCAAAGGACTTAAAGAAGCCTGCAAACACCAAGAAGGGACCAGTACAATGCATCTTCTTTTTTGGAACAAATAACTAGTAAGTTCCACTTTTAATTTATTTTATTGCATTTATGGGGTATTATTATGATGTGTGTTGTAGAGAATAACATTCAATAACGTTTCTTTTGTAGCGCATGGATAGAAGAATCCCACATTAAACCATACCAGGAGTTTAAAGATACTTTAGTAAAATCTAGTAAATCTAATGCATTCAAAGATGCAGTAGAAGCTATAGAAGAATTCATCGCTAAAGGCGAAGTAAGTATGAATGTATAAATGAAGTTTTTACTATCTGTATTTAATAATTATTTTAATCAAATTATGAATTAAATCATGTTTTCAAATACAGTTATTAAATATAAAATTGTAGTCTCAAGTGAAACATTAAATTAGTAATCACACAATTTTGTACCGTTTAAAATCTAATTTAACAAAGTTGAAAAACAAATGTTAATTTGAAATTAAGACGCATAATTTCAACTTATGTTAGAAATTACTAAGTTTTTTTGTTGATGCGCCAGGTGTTTGAAGATGGTTTGGATCCAGATTCCCTGTTTGACAGACTTAAAGAAGAAACTGTTGTTGAGAAGAAAAGCATCACCAAACCGCCGAAACCACGCAAGGTCAGCAACGAAATATACCTCATATTTGTTTGTAACGAATTTTAAGAACGTAATATATTTTATATTATATTTGTATGTATAATGGGAAAATTATTGCTGCAGGAAACGCCGAAGGCTAAACGATTAGACAGCGGCGCAGGTGATGCTCGTCGACCGGCTAAAAAACCGCGTAGAGATTCAAGTACCAGCAATAGTAACAGAGTCGGTAGTATCAGTCCCACACTCAATCACTCCACTCCGCCTAGAAAATCGGGCTCAACGCTACTGAACAGACCGGCAAATATCGCCAGACCCGTAAGTAATTATAGCGCTGTCTTTTTCATTTTTAATAGAGCGAATTTATTTACCCGTATTATGATTTTTTATTAATAATGTTTCAATTATAATTACATAATAATATTAATGAATCGCGTAAGGCTGATCTCGATGTCAATATACAAAATATGTAAATTTTATACGTATTGTATAAAATGCGAGTTTACCTTTGAATATTTAACATATTCGTATTACACATTTAATGCCAAATGCATTAGTCTGAATTTAAAATTTATACGTCCAATATATATGGAGATTATACACGATTACATACCGTAGAGCAAAAATCTTAGACCGTATACGAAGCACCGATATACGTATATCAGCGCTACGTCCTCAGTGCCGTAGCTAGGTATACGATAATCCTGTCGCCCCACCTGTTGGTCCCACAACCCCCCACCTATACTGAATAAAATACGCCGAATAAATGTGCCATTTATTTTGATATTAGAAGCTTTATTCACGCGAAATATTTGTTTCACATCGCTTCTATACGGCTTGATATCTATTTGAATATTTCGAAATATAGTAAATTTTAGTCTACAATTTTACATGTATATATACGATATCCCATAAAGCAACTATTCGCAATTAGATTTTTCGGCGAAATTAAAGTAGATATTTTCTCGTCGAAAATTTTGGGCACATTTTTTTCGCGACTTATACATACTGGGAAGAAAAATAAGAAAAATAAAAAATGTTTATTAGGTAGATGCTAATAATACATTTATTTAAATCTAAATTCTTTCATTTGAATAGAATAAGCAGTTGCTTTTTTGACAAACTAAAATTTTAAGAAAATATATATTTTCTTACTTGAAAAATATTTTATATTAGCACAAGTAAATGTGTTATTGATATCCATCGCGTAAATATTTTTTATTAGATATTTTTTCTCTCAGTACAATTTTTCCCGTAAATACACCTCGATTATCAAACATCTGGTTAAAATTCTATTAGATTAAATCTGATTCTATTAAATTTTATTAAATTAAATCTGATTCTATTAAATTTTATTAAATTAAATCTGATTCTATTAAATTTTATTAAATTAAATCTGATTCTATTAAATTTTATTAAATTAAATCTGATTCTATTAAATTAAATCCCAGTTGTGAACTTATACACACAAATTATGGGTTCTCCCCATAACACTGCTATATCTTTTGCCACAGGTTACGCCTCCCCTGGACGTGGAAACGCTCTCGCAGACACTCAAGGAGAAGAATATCCTGCCGTCGAACCTGAAATTCGGATTTCTCGGACTCGGTATCATGGGTAGCGGTATTGTGAAAAATTTGATCAACAGCGGTCATAATGTGATTGTGTGGAATCGGACGCAGGAGAAGGTATGTACCGACATGTGCATTTTTTGTTTATTTTTCGAATTGAAAGATTGCCGTATCGTGAAAACATTTCTATCGATGCCGGCAGCAATCAGTATCATCGTTTATTATTCACGTAAAACAATATTTCGAAGTAATCAACTCTTGTGTAACGTATATACCTGATTGTATACATTCACTTACGTGCCATCGCTTGAGAGAAACGAACGCAACGATCGGGGCGAATTATCGCGTGTAAACTCGAACGCGTTCGATAACGATTGCGTATATTATTCTGCGTTGATTATGGAAATAATAGTCCATTTGATTGCGATTGATCGCTTTTATCTTGCCTCCTCAATTGCATCCGCTGAATCCGATGCGCCGCATTTTCACGTGAAGTTCATTACGCATCATTCAAAAAACTGGGAGATCCAGAATCATAGAAGAGGGTGGTCGGAAAAAATCACACGAGTGATGCAATAAACAATGAAATTTATTAACTTAATTATTATATAGTATAGGACTTGAGCAGATTTTCCATCTTGATCAAGAGTAACAACGGCGGCATTATTTTCGCAAAACCGCACAGAATTGTCCACTACAAGTGGCTTTTAGGTCTTTCATATCGCTCGGTGGACATGTCCGGAACGACTTGGTCGCTCGGTCTTTCTTCTCGCAATCAATTTTCTAAACCGCAAATCCCCGAATATAAGCAAACGTGGATACACCTCTCAATATGGCTCGGTGCTGTTTTCTTCACTGCTCGCTCTGCAAGCCGCAAATTCACGGCGTATGAGATAATGCGGTGTGAATGCCGTTATAAATTTATCGCTCCATTCGATATATCCGTTAGCACTCCTCGGAGTAAGAAAGTAGGAAAATCCGATCGGCACGGCGAACTCGGCGAGACGTTTAGGCGGTGAAATTTTGGAAGGTAGCTCTCGACAGAGTTGAATCTAAAAGTACTCTTTGAAGGGTATTTTCGCGGTGACGCGGGTCCGCGGTGGAATAACGCTGGCAGGCAAAATCGATCACGCACCCCCGACAGTGCGAAAACAGCGCGCTTCAGCGTAGGAAAAAGGAAAAAAAAGACGAGTTCGCGCTCAGACTTGCTTTCTTTGGTACGCGGCTTTCGAACATCGGACTGTAACACGAGCTCATACAGTGGACTGCAAAACACGACTCGGACACGACGAAGTTGGAAACACCCCAAACTGTTTCAGAATTGAATTATATATTGATAATATATTAATAATATAATTAAGAGCACTAAATGATATATAATAAATAATATTAATAATAATATTATATTAATAATATAATTCATAATAATAATTAATAATACAATTACTAGACAAACTCGTCAGTAATGACTCTCAGTTTTGATAGTTTGACAAGTCCCCAATTTTATTATGTTCGGCTCCCGTTTAGCAATCCCCTGTACTCGTAGTACGATGTGCAACTGTTGCTCCGATTCAGTGTTTTCTTCAATATTTATAACAGATACAAACGATTGGCTAACATCCCCTCACGTAAGACTCGCGATTAAATTTTATTATCGCGCGCGCGCCTGTATAGTTTATGCGTATTTCATATAATATATTTATTGAGAGATATATATGAGATAATTAAAATTTATATAAAAAACATACGTACGCTTTAATTATTACTTTTACAATCGTTCTGACGGCATTTCGCTTACATACATACGCGACTTAGAACTAATTGTTGCACTAAAACGACATCAAATAATGTATTTTATAATAATCTTTCGAACAATGCACGCACATAATTTCTCTCTACATTGATAATTCATAATATTGCCATCTTTCCCTTCAATAACAAATCACAGTATTTACAAGAAAACACTTTGGATGAAATATCGAAGTTATATAGTATTTCTGAACGAATGATCGGTAATTTAAGGTTTCTGATCCCATCATCGCGAAACCCTGGATTGGTGATGTCAGAAGGCGAGAATGCCAAAAACCCTTGCGTGCTATTAAATGGCTTTAAAATTAACATGATAAAATAATAAGGAAAATTGCATGTCACGTTAAGGGAGAATTCACACCTTGGAAGAAAGATAGAAATCAATCAGAACTCGCAAATAGAGAAGCTAGTAGAGAAGCAAAAACTGTCAACTATACTAATCACTAACGTAAGTTCTGATTGTCTTCTGCTTTTCTATCGAGGTGTGGATTCTCTCAAACTTTAAGATTATTTATTAACCGTTAAATTTTCGAAATATATTTTATAAGCATGTTCGAGAGAGAGAGAGAGAGAGAGAGAGAGAGAGAGAGAGAGAGAGAGAGAGAGAGAGAGAGAGAG